ATGGATGTCAGTAATCTCCTGTTAATTCCCCTCTTCAAGTTCTCCACCGCCTCAACCACAGAGGATAAAGGCGTTAGTTACAAGTCAGTGACAAGACTCAAAGGGTGCGAGTTCAATACCTGGTTAAGGCGGTGGAGAAATTGGAGAGGGGAATTAGCAGGAGTTAACTGATAACTAACATCCGTTAGACATGGCACGTGGAACTAGAACAGTCTACCCCAGCGAGCGAAATAAAGGGTTCAGTTCAACATTCCAACCACTGGAAGAAGGCCGGAGCGTACAACGGCCGAAACGTAGTGTTAAATATGGCAACAAGGATGAGGATAATAGTTTGAATAATATAAATAGTGGATTTGTGCTTGTTCTCTAATGTCTATCTTACTGCTTAAGTAGCAGGTGATCATTTTTCAAAGACTCCTTGTCAAAGATTGCTAGCTGTATGACAGTAAAATGCTTCTAAGAACTCCCTCTGCGGTTTGAATATTTGCTTAATGTAAGCCTTCCTTTATCTTCTTTCCCACTTGGAAGTTTGTCATATGTGAAAAAAAATACATTACCTCTTTTGCATTGCTTGTTACTGAAAGTATCGAATCTTGTATCTAAACATGACCCTAATTTTTTAAGAGTCATCTAACTGGGGTTTTTTTTAAAGCCTAATCTTACTGGGGCCTAATTCTTTTAAACGTCATCTTACTGGGGCCTAATTTTTTTTAAACGTCATCTTACTGGGGCCTAATTTTTTTTTAAACGTCATCTTACTGGGGCCTAATTTTTTTTTAAACGTCATCTTACTGGGGCCTAATTTTTTTTTAAACGTCATCTTACTGGGGCCTAATTTTTTTTAAACGTCATCTTACTGGGCCTTATAAATAAATTTGAGCATTTTGTCATGAAGGAACAAAATTATCGCAAAACTATTTCATCTCAGACTTTTTCATTTCAGGAGACAACGTATTTGACTTCACGATCTCACAACTCCCGCAATTTTTGTTTCTCTAAACATGAACTGCGACAAGAACTTCACTTCCAGGAAACACCCGCGTTGGGAAAATGCGTTATTCACATTTAAGTAAAAATTGCTTATTAATCTAACTGCCTGTAATTTAAACCGGTTCTAGAGGTACCATATATATATATATATATATATATATATATATATATATATATATATATATATAAAATTATATTATTATTGAAAAAAATTGTAAGCACATTTCCATAGAACTTATGCAATGTTAGATATCAACTTTGTTTTGAACGTTGAGTTATTATAATTAAGAAATTTAACCATTTGGTAAAAAGCGTCTCTCAAAGCAAGAGATATGTTGTATAGCATTTCATGTTACAGTTTTCTCATCTTTCATCATTGACAATTATTTTGATTCTGATGTGGCAAAAAGGTTTGACGTTCACACAACCAATTGTTTCCACAAGTACTGGTAACATCAAATCTAATTTATACCTATTTTTTATAATATTACTAGCTTGCTTAGTATTAGTTTTAGAGTACTTGACACGCTTGTACAAGGCTTTTTTATGAAAATAAGTTGAGCTCTATCGTAGTCCTGTTAATCATCTTAAAGCATTGAACTACAACACAAGTGGGTTCAGGGACGGTGACATGCTTCAATTTGGTGAGTGGCCAAATCTAATATTAAGAGTTAAAAGGTAACTGATCCGGGGCTGCTATATTACGCGGGCTACCACGCTGCGAATTATACCGTGACCTCGCCTCTCGTGCGTCATGTCCACATAAAAAGGAAGGAAATGTGGCTTTCACATCAGAATCTTCCTCAGAGTTCGCCTAACTTCTGAGTTTGACAATACTCAGCTTCTCTGACTGCTTTCGAGCGGGGAGGAACTCAGACGAGTCATTGCTGAAGGGCGGAGTCTTGTCTGGGGAGGTAGACAAATCTGACCACGTTATTCCGCGGTCTATGGGGGAATTCTTTGCCAGGGCCTACCGGCTCGAAACGTCTCACGTAACAAAAAAAAAAAAAAAAAAAAAAAAACGGCTTTTTACCACATCCCGCCTTCTGTGGAGGACCTGGGTAAATACAGAATCCCTCTGGGTCTGAAACCGTTGTCATCAGCAGGATAACCTTTAGATTAAAACATTGCTGAAAGATTTTTTTATGGACGTGTCATCTTCACCGAGGAAACAGCAGTCACATTTTTACGAGAGAACAATCTGTTAGATGCGTTGTAGTTTTGCATAGCGTGGTAGAACGCATAGTATAGTAGAAAATGAGGTAGACCACATTCTATCGTGTTTAATACCGTGGTAGACCGAATACTCTAGTAGCAAGCCCTGATCCTGTATAGTTTAACCGAACATATGAGTATTTTTCAAATAACGTTACTCCGGACATATTTGTTAATGAAATTTAGCGCTTGCCTCGTTATTTTGTGGAAACTCCCAAGAAAAATAACAGTTTCCATATATTTGGAAAATTATTGTCAGTGAAGATTTTAAGCAAATGATATAGCTCAACTCAACAACACTCATCGATTAAGGCCAATAAAAAAGTTTGTTCTCAAGACTAGAAAGAGTTCAGGGACTTTCTGGTTCCAAGCATCTAACTAGTCTGTCATGGATGCAATATTGAATAAAACCCGTCCTTGAAAAGGATCTTGTATGACTTGTATATACATGTGTACAGCTAAACCAATGATAAGGTGTCATACAATGAAGTTTGTTTGGAGAGAACAAAGGACTGTTCTCATCTTTTTTTGTTGCCACGACGTTTCAGCTGTTGTACCCTGCGGCCTTCCTCAAGTGTATACTGATCTGGATAACGTAAAGGGGATTTTGAACGAAACCCTTTATTTGATTAAATAAAGGGTTCAGTTCAGAATTCCCTGTAGGTTACCCAGATCGATATACACTTGATGAAAGCCGTAGGAAACAACTGCCGAAACGTTGTGATAACAATGAAGATGAGAATATTAGTCCAAATATCGTTTATCTCTGAAAATCAGATAAAAAGCCAAGTAATAATTGAGAGTCAAATCAAATCAGTGTAAAAAAAAAAAAAAAAAACTAATTACTTTCATTTTCTCCAACGCGCACACAAAATTCTTTTTGAACACAGAAATGGATTATATGAAATGGACAACGTAATTAGTATTCAAATGTGAGAAGCAATTTTCGCAATTAATAAAAATTGAAATTAGTTGCGCAAAGAGATTGAAGCAACTTCTGCATAAAACTTACACAATATTTAAGATTACTACTTTGAAAGTTTCTAATACACATCAGGCATTTTGTCTTTATTTTGACCTATAGTAGTAGTACTAGTAGTAAAGCTGGTCGAATTCATAAAATGTCACTGAATCAGTTATTTGTCAGAATTCTGATTAATGTACGATCTGTTAGCAACATGGGTCGGAAATAACTCTCCGGTGTAATTTGAAAAGGCCTTCTTTAGCTTTGGGGAGTTGTTTTTCTATGACAGCGCTGTTCGCTGTTAGGCGGACATGTCTTTTTCAACAAGGGTTACTCAAATTAGTCCTGTTTCTTATTTTTTTTCTCAATTTCGATGACGCCATCTTGTTGAAATTAACGCGTGGCATGAGATGTAATCATCGAATTCTATGCTGGAGGCTTATTTCGGATCCACGCTGCTTGTTTAGAATAATCATCCCAGAGATTTGATAAACGCCTCTAAGAAGATGCAAAACGGATTACCAATTAATCGATCGATTTTCTTGTCACTCTCCAGTGACGGATTTATCCGTCATTAAACTATCATAGATGAAAAGCACAAAACGAACTAGAAATGACCATTTAGAAAAGCCATGTGATATTGAACGAAATTTTGTTAAACGTGGAATGTTCGTATATTTTTTTCATAACTTGCCTATGATACTTGAGAATTAGAACAAGCTCAGAAAAAAAAAAAAAAAAAAAAAAAAGAACTAGTTTAAATTTCTTTGTGATTTTATTTGTTATGGTTTTAAACCCTTGAAGTTTTACAAAGCATTTTCCAAATATATACGTATAGGCGTTGTCGTTGCAGTTTGAATAAAGTTATGCCGCTTAATAAAAATCCTTTGTATTAAGAGCCAATCTAACTTTCAATATTGTCAGTGTCATCACCGCAGCCGTTAATTTCGTTCGAAAATTAGTTTCGTAATAGTAGAAAACACTAATAAGATTATACGTACAAAGTTCATTTCGGACAACATTTAAGTAAAATCAATCAAACCTCAAGACAACAGACGCATGCAAGAAATATGGAACACATCGCAAATGTTGAAATAAAAATCAGTACATACCTATAAAGGCCACAGCAACGAATGGGATATGAAAAAGAAAAAAGAAATTGTTAATTAAAAATTGCAAAAGTTATGCTGTTATAAACGAATAAGCATTAATACACGTGTATAATTCTATTATTTTAGCTTAACAGAGAGGTACAGAAAAAATGTGACAGCAAAATTATCTATCACGATTTTTGCATAATCTATGTAATTGAGAGCTCCATATTCGTTGGTCAAGAATTATATATCCTGTGAAGTATAACGTACCCAACTCAAACAATTTAACTTTCTGTCAGAATAACATGAATGAACAATTATTTGCACTATATTCGGTTTATTGTCATCTTTTTGTTACCACAGTGTCTCGGGTTCTGTGACCCCCGGCTTTCCTCAGGTATATATCGACCTGAACACGAGAGATAGACTGTTCTAATTCCACTGCTCATGTATAGGGATATCATCTAGTTCTTACGGACGAGGAATAACTGTAAAGTACTAAATAAAAATAATGACTATATGGAACGATATACTGTTAACAATTACTTTTTCCACACTTATATTCAGAACCTCTACCGGGTATTTTTTTTTGCGTCCCTGTTAACTACGATCTTCAAAATTTAAATGCAACATCACTCTTTATCTTCGTTAGACACGACTGAGGCGTTAGAACGAATTCCAGTGTGTAAAATTTTGGTAAAATAGTATGGCAACCAACTTTCGAATGCTTTATATGATCAAGACATCGCGCACGGCGGTAGTGAGGTGCGCACAGAGACCGGAAAAAAAAAAAGTCGCGCAAGCCGGTAAAGTGTGTGTGTGTGTGGGGGGGTCACAGAGACCGGGGGAGTCGCGCACGCCGGTAAAGGAGTGGACACAGAGACCAGGTGTGTGGGGGGGCACAGAGACCGGGTGTGTGTGTGGGGGGGGGGCACAGAGACCAGGTGTGTGTGGGGGGGGGCACAGAGACCGGGTGTGGGGGGGCAGAGAGACCGGGCGGGGTGGGGACACAGAGACCGGGCGGGGGTGGGGACACAGAGACCGGGCGGGGGGTGGGGACACAGAGACCGGGCGGGGGTGGGGACACAGAGACCGGGCAGGGGGGGCACAGAGACCATCACAGAGACCGGGGGGGGGGGAAGTCGCGCACGCCAGTAGGGCGGTGGGCACAGAGACCTGGAAACAGTCGCACCCCGAGTGAGAAAGTCAAGTTGTACAAACATGGTTTTCTTGAATGTTACGATAAATGTTCATAGTATCAGTAAACCCACTGAACGACGAAATACGTAATTGTCATTCATCCACATAATAACGCTCTGTTTGCATGTGCATTTCCTCAAACAAAAATATCTTGACTTTCGGCATTGTCAGCCAGTAGCGACGAGAGTTGGGTGTAGACATCCAACACAAATGTACTGGGCTTCGAAACCCGAGGGGCCCCAGGAAAATACCTGAAGGAGTTTAGGGGTGGGGCTTCTTTACAGAAAGTAGGGAGCAAAATTATGAATTGGTATTTCATTGAAAAAATACGAAGACTGAAAACTTGGGACGCCGGTTCAAATTTCTGCACTGATGACCGTTATATTCCCTGCCTATCTTTCTATTTCGATACATTGAATTCTGATACCTGTTTTGAGGTTAATTTGAGTATTTCCTGCCGGGAATTGTTTTCGAACCTATAGAAGAGTCAGGCTTTCGAACTGATTATCAATACAAATCGAGTCTTATTCTATTAAAGAAAAAAATCATTTCACGCCAATCGAGGCAATAAAAGTCACTACGATGGAAAGCGTTGCGAAGAGCTGAAAGAAACAGGATATGACGACAAAATTACGGAAACAGTAGATGATTAACATTGCATTAACATTTTTGAAAATCTTATTTGACAGGAAAGCAACATGTTGGAAAATATTTCCACCAGCAAGAAAGAAACTTTGTATATTATTTAGAAACAAGTATTTCAACAATGAAATTATGAAACCTAGATGTCAATATAACAAAAGCGTGAGATGTTTTTTTTTTTAAGAGTAAAGATTCATGTTTTCTTGTAATTATTCTGAAAGGTGCATGCAATGGGAACGTCTATTCTTTACCATTTATCCTAGTTGTACTGAATCTCATTTAAGCTTTGCCAAGGGAAAATATTCAGTTAATAGACTAAGTACTGGCTTCAATCTAGACTAATGGTTCTATCCCAAGTGCAGAAATGGCTTTAAGAGTAAAAAAAAAAAAAATCGTTCAGCTAAACTTTGGCGCCATTTTGGCTCATGTTTTCATTTAGTTATGAAGAGAAGTCTTAAAACAGGGAAGGAAAGAGCGCCAGTCCATTAACAGAAATTGATAGCCCAAAGTCACGCTGAAATCTAACCTGGAAACTTTACCATTAAACAGGTATCAGGACTGTCATCAAAACAATTATCTCGGAATGCTGCAATTTCAAACCACTAGCCGTTGATTCGATGAAAAATAAGCAAAGATAGGAATAAACACTTCTACGTAAAGTGCACTGGCTAAGGACTGGTTTTTATGAAGCTAGAATCATAAAAATACCTAATATTTGTCAGCTCGTTTTATAAAGTCAGATTCAACAAATGTTCATTCAGCTTGGTTTGATTGATGGATTTGTTTTGCTTACGATGAATGTAGCCCTTCTGGGTAATTCGCAACCGAGACATTTTCTTCAATATACAAATAATTTAACATATACCATTATTTTTTTAGCTTATTTTTTTCAAGATACTTGTCCTATTTAACCCATAGGTAGATGGAGAAGAGATGGTCTCATGCCTTTCCAACGGTTATTTGCGCATAGTTAAAATGTAATTGACTCGACTGTAATTATAACTGCTGTCCGATTACACATTCCCATCCACTCCATCACCCGCACGTACTAGTGGGCTGGGATCAACGTAGCTTTTTTTGTTTTTTTGTTTTTTTCCTTAGTATTTGGAAAGTGTAAACAAAATGAATTTGATCATTTAATACATCACAATATTTATTACACAAGCATAGGCGTTATTTTGACAATTTTCCTTAAAATTCCCTTCCATGGTATTCATAGCTCTATGTGCCGTCTCTCCTCAGGACGTAGGCGATCATGGCTGTCAACAATTTCCGATTGCTTACAGCTCTAAATAAATTCTTAGAATTAATTTTGTAAATGTTGTAGAGTGAACGCAAAGTTTTTTTTTTCCGTATGAATCCAAAATACTTTCGTCGCCAAGTGTTGTATATGGCGAAACGAATTTTTTTTTCTTTAATTTTTTTTTCGTATGAATTTCGAATTCTGGTCGCCAAAGTTGTTATAGAGTGAACGAAAACTTTTTCCCGTATGAGAAACGAATCCCTCGTCGCCAAATGTGTTGTAAAGTAGTTTCACAGTGGAGGCTTGTATTTTACTGAGTCGGTCCTAAAAGGGTCCGACGTAGAAAACGTTAGGAACTTGAAATAAGAGTTAATGACGCAGCAATCTAGTTGTGGGGCTCATACTTTAATGTCCGGAATCGACTAACTCATACAACTCACTGAGCTCCACTGGCGACTGTTACTACTACTTATCTGTGGGAGAGCATTTACAATAGAAATAGGTACGTCCCGGTATAACACTAAATCATGTTCTGCCATCGTTTCTTTTAAGCTCGTCAAGTATTATATGCGTTTTCCCCACCCCCTCATTTAGTCCTGTGAGGGACAGATTTTCCAAGTCCTCTTTCCTCGTGCGCTACTTCTAGTCTCCACTTCATCTACGAGGAAATTCTTCAACACTCACTGTCGTACAGGAGGGATAATATGGCAGCTGTTGAACACATTTCTAACAAAATTATCCTCTTTTAGCGACAAGAAAACGTGACCGTAATAATTTACTTTTTATCTGAGACGGCGGGCGATCGGGTCTGAATTTGTACGCAATTTCCAAAGTGTTCAAAAGTTTGCAAACCATCAATTAAATAAAAATTAAAAGGTCATGTATTTGTGCGTTAAATTAAATGCTCGGTTGCGTTTGAAAAGGTCTTATTCGGACCCTATTTCTGGATTGATTTGTTTTTAATGGCTCAGTCTTTTGCAGCTTATTTAAAGCCATGAAATGTTTAGATTTTTAGCATTTCTTCTTGAAATAATTATTTGCTTAATTTCGATGATCGCACAAGAACATGTGTTTAAACGTGATATAGCTGTAAGCATCCCTATTACTGGAAAAAAAATTCTGCTATTTCATCTGACCTTATGTAAGTTCAGTTTGATACCAGAAAGATGAGCTTGCCTTTGTTCGTTTCTTCCCTGATCCAGTGTGTCAATTTTTACAAGCCATTAATACTCATATCTAAAACGTTTCAACTGCCTTTCTGATTTGAAAGATAAACGTTCGTTTTGCTTCCATTAAACCAGATTTGTTACGTGGGCAAAAAAAGAAAGAAAAAGCCCCCCCGCCCAAAAAAATGTTTATTTACTACACCCACAAAGAGTTTCATTATTAATGAGATTTCAACCCACGTTTATCCTTTCAAACCCATCGCAGTTTTTAAATATCCGAACAACGTCTTGTCCTAATTTATTTTTCAATTATACATTAGTGAGTTTCCAAGTGTAGCTTAGATGTGGCACACGGCCGAAAGTAAGAGGCACCCAGTGAGGATCGAACTCACTACTCAGTCGTAATTGTTCTAGCGAGCCAAGCTTGCTAACCATTACACCACCTTTTAATTATACATTATACCACTGCAAGTATGTTGTACATGATTGATAGATTCGTTTTCTACAGCTTAACCATTTACAAGTTATTTAAAAATATATATATATATATATATATATATATATATATATATATATATTCATTCTTTTTAGATTGTCAAAGGTTTTGTTTCGGAGAAAGATTCAAATCTTGCTAATTAACCATTAGCAGAGTGGGAAAGAGGTTCACTCAGACCTATTCCAAGGGTATTCGCACGTAAGTACATATAAAGAACACAAGGAGAATTGGAACTTTGCTTTCTGATTAGAAATTCTAAGCCATTATCCATTACACTAGCCGCTCATCCAGTCTTACAGTGCTTAGTATTACCAAGCGGTCACCCATCTACCTACTGACCAGATTCTACTTCGGTGATCGTACAAGGAAAGCAGCAATTTAGCGTGATGTGGCCGTAAGCTAAGTAGCACTACATTATAAATCTTATAGGCAGACACTGCAGTTTAAACAAACGATATATCACACGGCCGTCAGAAATATAGGCATCAAAAATTGATTTCCATTATTAAAACTTGCTAACTTCCTCTAAATATGATTCAAAAGCTATCTTTACACTGAGGTTACACGTTTACGTAAGATTCAAGCTTATTTAGACTGACAATAAAACCGTTCCTTCGTTCTGACCGAAGTGCTTTATAAAACTTGTATTTAATCTGACTAGATTACAAATTCGAAAACAGCATAGGAAAAGTTTCGACAAAGAAAATCGAAGACCAACTCTTCCAGGTATTCATAGAGTAACGTAACGCCTTGCCTACTTAAAAGATCAACTGTAAAAACTCGAATTTAAAAAAAAAAAAAAAATCAAACAACTTGGTTTTGTACGTTTTTCTATTTCTTCCGAAAAGTAAAAGGAAATTAAAAATACTTTTTTTTTTTTTACAGTAGATAAACTGAAGTGATGTAGAGAATATAGAGTTGATTAGTGAATTTAATATTTCCTGTTTAGTACACCTACGACAGAAAGGGTGCTAAACAGCATTAAAACTATTTGAAGCTGGTTGATAAAAACATTGCACGTGCATTCGGCCTGAAACAGTTGACAAGTAGGCTTTTCCACTTAGCGACTATCGCACTGGATCTTTAGTCCTTAAATGATTATATATATATATATATATATATATATATATATATATATATATATATATATATATATATATATATATAAATGCTGCTAAGTTAGTAATATGGAACCTGATCAACAGGAAACTTAATTTTTAAAAACCTGACATTTATTAAAAATAAATTAGCTTAACTGGCATTTTATTTTTGTACACACATTGCGTACCAACTGTACATAATATTAGGACAAATCTAATTCGATCCGATGTTCCAGTTTTGGAGATTCCCATTTCATTTCGACTTGCCAGAATTCATCTATTTTCCGGCGTTTTACTCATTAAGTACAGCTTCTGATTGTTGTTTAATCGTTCGAGAAACGCAGCCTGATCTTTCTGCTATCACAGAAGATTTCCA